CTCCCGGTCCTGATGACTTCAATGGCTATTTATATGTTGTATATGTTGGAATACAATTGGTCCAAATATAGTTGTGGCTATTTAAAAAAATTTCATTGACAGGAAACTCCTGTTCATTTCAATTCCACAGTAATTCCGTTCTACAACTCTGGCCAATTGTCTTCAAAATCATCACTTGCATTCTTACCGACAAGTTGGGCCTGATTGCTTCCAGGATTGTATCCCCTCAACAACATGTTTTTCTTAAAGATCGAACCATCTTAGATGACACTATTCTCACTTCTGAGTGCACGAATGTCCTTGATAAACGATGTGCATGAGGTACAATCAAATTTGATATTCAAAAGGCTTTTGACACTTTAGACTGGTCTTTTTTGTTACGCGTTTTAAAAGCTTTTCGTTTCTCCCATGTATTCGATAATTGGGTGGAGGAACTTCTACGATATGCTTATCTATCTTTATTAGTTAATGGCTAAGTTTCTAGTCTTTTCTCTTGTTAAAGAGGTGTTCAACAAGGTGATCCTTTGTCTTCTCTACTATTTTGTCGATGCTAATTTCATCTGGTGAGTTGGTTTCCATGGCTGCCTAACGGGGTCTATGTGCCCCTTCTCATGTCTTATTTACTGATGCTATTGTGATATTTTTGTGTGGTACCCGCGCTGATCTGAGACGCATTATGAGATTTATTACGGAATATGAGTTTTACTCAGGTCAGGTAATCAACAAATCAAAATCTTTGGTTTTCTTTGGTAAAATATGTTCAACCAAGGCAGAGATCTATCAGAAATCTTCTTGGTATTGGAGTGGGTTCTTTCCCATTCAAATATTTGGGTGTTTCCATCTTTCAAGGTTGGCCTAAGCGGAGTTACTTTGAGGACATTGTAGATAAAGTAAAATGTAAACTCTTAACTTGGAAGGGTCTCATGCGTTCTTAAGTGGGTCGGTTACAATTTATCACGTCTTTCATCCAAAGCATTCTAATATATAGTTTTCAAGTGTCGCTTGGCCCCGTCTTCTTTTCAATCAAGTCTAATGTTGGATAATGAATTTTTTCTGGTCAAGTGATCCAGACTCTCATGGTACTCTTCTAATTTCTTGACATGTTTGTTGTCACCTAAAACGCCTTGGTGGCTCAGGGTTAAAAGATTTGGTGGTTCTATATCGTTCATTGATTTTAAAGCGTTGTTGGGATATGGTGGATTCTTCCTCTCTAGTGGTATTTTCATGTGTGCTTGCTTCTTGCATAGATGCTTGATTTCTCTTTTCACTTTTAAATATCATCATTGTGGCTGGGTTTTAAAAAAGTTATCTCTATTATCTTTTCACGTCTACTTGGATTGTGGGTGATGGTTTTCAAGTTTCTTTTTGGCCAGATAATTGGTTGGGCATGTCCTTGATTTTCTATATGACATCCGTAATGCTCTTGCTCATATGGTTAGAGTCTAGTAAGAGACTTTATATGCGGTTTTGATTGGGAATTAATGTCGGATTTCACTGCTAATTTTCCTAAAGTTGCTGCTTGAATTACAACTAATCCTCTTACATTGTAAGCATTTTAGACTCTTTATGTTAGTCTGGCTCTCTCTGGAATTCTCAAAGCTAAAGAGATTTATTCTCTCTTGCTCAACTTTGATAGCCAAGTGGTTGGGGGGAGAGTTATTTGGTCTCATCGAATTTGAACAAGGTAAAGCCTAACTATTTGGAAAGTCTTACATGGTTGTCTCCTCACTGATACGATGCTACAACATATGAGAATTTCGATGGTTTCTCGTTGCTCATTTTGTAATTCAGTTGTTGAGTCTCTCACACATTTTTTGGAATGTTCTTGGACTGCAGGTCTTTGGTTTTGGTTGTTGGAGCTTTTCTGTCGTCCCTTTCTAGTGGTCCAATCAGTGTTATAGGTTTTTTCGAAAATTTTTATTGCTACTTTTTGCTGGTTCTACTCGAAAACTGTTGATTATATAGCAGATTGTAGTTTTATATGGGGCATTTGGTTTCTTCATATCAAATTCAGTTCGAGGGCAAGCCTGCTTCCCTTGATTATGCAAAGTGCTAGCTAGCGGCTTGATTTCATGACTCTCGTGGTTTTCGAGTGGTTGTTCCTCTTCTTTAGAGTTCCCTATTTTCTTAATATTGGGTATCTCACCTCTTTCTATTGTGGTTCTATCCTCTATTCCAGTCATTTGGAGGTTGTCAATGGTTTGGTGGCTCAAGGTTAATATCGATGAGTCTTGTGCCAACGTATATGCTGGATTTGGGGAGATTTTTCGCTCATCGGAGGGTGGGACACTTGGTGCTTTTACATCAAACACAAAATTTGTAAGTTCAGTTTCTGCAGAAATTCTTGCTTTCATTGAGGCCTTACGTATAACTTGGGTTAGAGATTGAAAACATTTATGAATTAAAATAGACTCCATGTTGGTTAATTGCATTCCACTCAAACTTCTTGATTCCCCATGATTTTTCCTAGACCAACGTTATGAACGCATAATTAAATTGACCATTCGGTTTTGTCCTCCATAAAATATCAAAACAAGATAGCCTGTATTCTTAATCAATATGAACCAAGAAATGTTTGGACTTTGCAATTTTAGTTGTAAGGCATTTTTTGGGGGGGGTCAAAATAGCTTTACATTCATGAAAGGCAGAAACCCATAATAAATACAAAGAGAAACTTTACCACTACTATTAGTCCAAGTTCAGTTCACATGCATGTACGCAAGTAATTTTATGAATTAAATCAATAAATACTTGAGACAAATTAAATAGATTATTTGAATAATGCTAGTCTTTAGTATAAGGAAACATTATAATCTCAATTCGTTGAATAAAAATCCCCACCCTCCCTATATATTCCTTGTCCACGGACATTTGTAATCTACCATCCCACAAAGTGAAATACAGATATTGTGGTACCTAACAAAGGCATATATAGTGCTATAGATGTCTAAATTTTCGTTCTTCCATTTCTTCTTCCGTATTCTTGTCTTCTCAGGTTTGTTGGCTTATCCTTTGTCGTCGTTGGTGTTTTTGTTTGGGTTAATGATTTAAAAAACATTATTTTCTTGCACATGTTGATTCAAAGTTTTCATACAAAAGTTTTATCTCAAATATTAACATTAATATGTAACAACTAGCTATATGCAGTATTTTGTTAATTTAGCTAAGAAAGCACGAATGAAACCTTCGATCGTGGTTAAGCCTATCCATGTATCTTTATTCTTTAATTAGGTTAAGTACTAGGGTCTTTGTGGAACACTCTTTCTGCTTCACAATTTTATTTTATTATGTCTTATAAATTAAAAATCCAGTTTATATTTTGTGAGATATGAAACTTATTTGCATTTATTCAACTGTTTGATAATTTTGCGGTTGCTTTTAACAATGGAAACCTGCCACAAGCTTACGCACAAAAGAGATGCCAAGAGCTAGTATCCAAGCAATATCACATTATCGGATTGCGGGGAGAAGTGCTTTAAGAAACACAATGACTTTCTTTTGGTATATTGAGGCTAAAAGAGAAAATAAAGCCTAACTTCTATTAACGGTAGAATAATCTACACATATTTAAAGAGAAGCAATTGCCGAAATTAATATATATATATATTTTTTTTTTTTTACATAGTCCTTCTCTAATAAAAAGAGATAGTTGTTAACGTCACTTCTAAAATGCTATCATGCACTTCTCTGTGTATATTTTGCCTCGTGTTTTCTTAAAAACGAAGATTAAAATGACATTTCTAGGATGGCTGTAAAAATTTCCTTTAGTTATTGGCTTGATTTTTCCATAATGCCCTATATACTCTATACAAAATTTAATTTTACCTTCTACACTATTTTCTTTATCAATTTACCCTTTGTCATCCTCTTTTATGTTTTAATAAACCTCATTAGTTGCCACTTACTACTACGGTCTAGTGGTATTCCTCTTCATTTGTAAGTGAGAGGCCTCAGATTCGATTCTCGTCAAAGGCAAATTTGAACCACATTATTGATAACCCATTGTGAAATTTAGCTCACTCCTCGAATACTTTAGGCCAAGCATACAAAGGCCATTCACTTTCAGGAATGTACAAAATGCAGAATACTGAAAGCCTGAATGAATTATAGCAGTATATATAGAAAAGCTACTTTTAAATATCAAGGTTCTAAAAAATGCTAGGCATTAGTTGGGCACCGGGCTAGAGCTTAGCGCCTAGGTAGCTAGGCAGGGCCTAAGCAGGCACATAGGAGGCCTAGACAGATTTACATAAATTTATAATATATTATAAAATATGAATATGTATAATTTTTGGATTCATTTGTTTAGTAGCTCTGGGCTGTAAAGCATTTATGCCTTTCTTTTCCTCCATTTTTCTTTCGACTTTCTCTCTCTCTTCTCTTTAAGAGATCCCTTTCTCTCTCTGCAGTAAAACCCAATTCGACTTCCTCTCTCTCCTCTTCAAGAGATCCCTTTCTCTCTCTGCTCTGCAGTAAAACCCAACAGACCCAACGGACGGATTATGTGTATTGTTCATCCCTACATATTCTCAATCTACTTGGGGTTCATCGATTGATGTTGGGTGCAAGAGCGCATGTTTGAAGATTTGGGTTGTGGGTGGTGAATCGTGCTGATGCAAGGGGATATTTGCAGCGAGAATGCAGTCGCATCGATCACCGCCTAGAGATGCCTAGGCGACCACCTAAATCCTTCCCGCCTTACCTGAACATTTTGGCCCAAATAGGGTCGGGGCTCCCTCGCCGAGCACCTAGCCGCCTAGGCCGATTTTTAGAACACTACTAAATACAGCAGAGAGATTGACGTGTACAAATTTAGTTCACAGACACTACTCAATTTGTGGATCACCAATTAATTTCATTAGCTCCTAACATGCATATATTACTTATATACCAAATTCAGAAACATAGGTGAGACCTTAGATTTGGAAATAACACAAAAGTTCCCGAACTTGCCACATAGAATAATAGGGTCAGCATAATATTTGAGAGGGATGAAAAAATTCAAAAGGACATACAAATTTAAATTAAACACGCATAACATATGCATTAAGCTTATTGGTAATTGTTCATCCATAACAAGAAAAAAAAAGGAAAAAAAACCTTGAACATAATCCAACAGCCTTAATTCGCTGCGCCCAAAGCCCTCCCAATTTCGAAAGAAACAAAAGCATCGATGCAAGCATACTTGATTTGCTCAAGTGAAAGGGACGGCTTATCCCAGTGACTCATTGTAATAGTCTTTGGCTTTTGAAAATCCTGCCCTAGAACATCTGCTGCCATGTCCTTTAGCCCTATTCTCCGCTGCACACTCAAGCCATACCTTCTCGCCTCCAATTCCCTAAGATCGACATACTTTGCTACCGCAAGGCCATGCTCAAGGCAAAGCTTTCGAACATCGTCCTTGATCCCAACCCCGACGAAGGTAAAGTCTGGATCCGCCAGAAAGTTGAAAAGACACCTGGGGATTCCCGGGGTATGAAGCAACTGAAATATGAGGCAGCGGTGCCCAACACACAATTGTAGGGTTGCGACCGGGTTGTTCACACCGCGAGTGAAACTGGGACGCCACTCAACATCGAGTCCAACGATGAGTTTGTGAAGGCGGTAACGGTGTAGGTATCGGGTTTTGTTGATCCAGTACTTGACCTTGGATGGAGTGTGCGTGACTAGGGTGTCGATGTAGTCGTCGAAGAAATCTACTCTGTAGATGCTGTGCGTGTCGTAGCCCAACTCGTAGTCTGTGATGCTGATAGACATGGCTACGGTTTGGAAAGAAGAAGAAGATGGTGTGGAGAAGTTTTGAACGGTTTGGGAACTTTATGAAGATTACAGCAAAGACGCAAGAGGTCTGACGATGAATGATGGACAGCGGTAAAAGTGGGGTTTTATAGGGGTGATTTGTTGGATAGTGGCCAACTTGCAAATGCTTTCGGCTAGACAAAAATCCAAACGGCTATAAAAAATTATAAAGAAAGAAGGTGGACAACACCTTTCCTTGTTTTGGGGAGGAAAAAAGGGAAAAGAATTTTTGTTCTCTTCAACACCCGTGGGTGTTGGTTTAAGAAAGGAAGGGGTTTGCCTTTGCAGCTGAATATAGAGAAGAAGAAAAAGCTCAATGCTCTGCTGAGAAAAAGAGGAGCTGCAAAGAGAGAAGAGAAGCTGCTGCTTCATTCGGTTAGTAATCATCTACCAAAGTAGTTGTTGTTGTAATAGCTTTGAGCTATATGTATAGAGAAGAAATTATTCATTATATTTCTTCCTCTATTTGTTTCTTTGGTGTGTGAGAGCTTTTGGGTGTATTGGGTTAATTGGGCTGTGAGATTGCCAACACTTTGTAAACTCTCATTTGCTTGATAGTGGATTATTGGGTGAGCTCCTACTGCTCCGAGGACGTACTCCAGTTACACTGACTGTGGAGGAACCTCGTTAAAATCTTTGTGTCTTTTATATTTTGTTCTTGCATTTTCATTTGATAAATTTCCTGTGGGCTAGCTTGAGTTGGTTCCAAAAAATTTTGGTGCTATCCTAGCACAACATGATTAACTGACGTACGTTTCGCTTCTTTCCTTAGTGTTGAAGGTTTTTTTTTTTTTTTTTCCTTTTACTTTATGGTTTTGATCGGAGGATAATAGAAGCAAAGAGATTTGAGTTTTATGAAAAATAAAATAAAAAGATTTAGGTTGAGTTTATTTTGACAAGATTAAAAATTAAGTGCCAACAAAGATTATTGCTACCTTTAGAATTTTTTGGGGTTCAATAATCTAGTTATGGCTTTAAAATGATAAGAAGGAAAATATAAACGCTCAAGTTAAGAGATATAAACATTAACAACAAATTCGAGATTACTTTGTGATTGTTTTTACCTCAAAAGAAAAATATGATCGAAATTAAAATATTGGAGTTTTTGCTTTTACGATTATGTTAAATTCGTATACACACGTCTTTAATGTATTGTTAAAGTTATTTTTTATGAATATCTTTATTTTTTCGTAAAAAGTCAATAGACCTTTTTTAATAGAAATTAGAATCCTTACATTTTTTTCAATGTTTTTTAGATCAAAACATTTGGTTTCTTTTTAAGATTTAATTAAGAGGCTTTGATCAATTGCCACATATTCTTTAAAGTACACGTCATTAGTTTAAACGCATCTTCACCTTGAAATTAATTACCCACAATCTAGAAAATTTAATTTCCCCAATCCATTGAATTCCTACGCTTTTAAACTAATGACATGTAATTTAAAAAATAAAAATGGAGCCAAAGCCCTTTAATCAAATTTTGAAAAGAAATTTGTTATTTATTCTTTTATATTAAAAAACGAAGCGTATTATCTATTTATTCTTTTACACATTAAAATGGTACGATGATAAAAACTATTAAAATAGGGGCAAAATTATCCCTTTAAAAGGAGCAATTTTTAAAATTTCTGAAGTACTTTTCCAAACGGGCCAAAATCCCCAAATTGGATGATCCAATCGCCAACGCGCCCCCCAAATAGGCGTCCGGGCTCCCCTCGAGTGCAGAATCTCAAGGATACTTCACGAAGGTTCGATCTTTCTACCCTCCAAATTTTACCATCCACAAACCCTAACCCTAATTCCAAATTCCCAATTTCCCAATCTCTCTCTCTCTCTCTGTGTGCAAGAACCATGTCTCACTTCGGTAGGTCTGGCCCTCCGGACATCACCGACACCTACTCTCTCCTCGTCCTCAACATCACCTTCCGTAAGCTCGTTCGCTCTCTCTCTCTCTCTTTAATTTGTTTTTGGCAGGATTTAGTGCTGGTAATTTGTTGATTGATTGATTTGATGTTATGAACAGGTACGAGTGCTGATGATCTGTTTCCACTTTTCGATAAGTACGGCAAGGTTGTTGACGTCTTTGTCCCCAGAGACCGAAGGTTCGTTTCGATAAGGAAGTTTCTTTTTTTTTTTTTTTTTTTTTAATGCTCCATTAATTCTGTTTGGTTCCTGAGAAATTAAGTATCTTTGATTTGTTTGAAAACGATATCTATGTTAGGAAAATCATGTGAGAAAATCGGTGTTACGATAAGTTATGAAGGTTTTGTTTGTGATTGTATCTAAACATTAATTGTTTTTCTTATTTTTATGAGTGCTGAGAAGATATGGGAATTCGACGCTTATGATCACCTGTTTACAGTGTTCGGGGGAGCAATTAGCTTCTCTTGAAGTGGAGGACTAGTTAATTGTAGGAAGTGCACATTTGAATTTATGTCCTTTCCCCCTTTATTTTGTTGTTGTATATGGTTAACAAAAATTGTTTCTGAATTTTGGATGTTTATGTCCCTCCTGTGGTTTAGGACTGGGGAGTCGAGGGGCTTTGCTTTTGTGCGATACAAATATGCAGATGAGGCTCAGAAAGCAGTTGAAAGGCTTGATGGTTTGCAAATTTTCTGATTATTGTCATTACTACTGCTGTCAATATTTATGTGTTTTTGCTACCTTTTTTAATTGTCACTGCTCATCAAGTGTCTTGACAATTCCAAATACTTATGCAGGAAGAGTTGTTGATGGCCGCGAGATAACTGTTCAGTTTGCAAAATATGGGCCAAATGCAGAGAGGATGTAAGTTTGTCAGTTATCGATGTTTCTTATTGTGAATTCTTGATGGCTGAATTATTTTTTTTGGTACTTTATTTACCTCGAGGGAACTATGAACTTGTAGTAGGTCTTCCCATATGCTTTTAATACTATTTTTTTGAAAATTATTCTTAACTACTGCATATGTTACTCTTAAATATTAAATCCTTATTGAGGTTGATCTATTGTTGTTTTGTTCAATTGGTGTATTCTATACCTGGAAGTGTATTGATACTAATGCGATTCTGTTGATGTTATTTTACCTGTCTGTTTTGGTATCAGTGCTTGTCAACAGATTGCAGTATCTTTTTTCAATTCTATACTATGGTATATGGTATCAATTCTATATGCAGCAGGTCAATCTCTTTTTATTGTACAACACTGAATACTAAACTGAAAACCCTTGTTTTGGTTAGAAGGGGTTTTGGTTGTGTAACCAATGCTTGTTTCGTTGGGGAATCATGCAAGGATCTCACAAAACCATAGCTTTGGTTTTATGCCTGAAATGCCTTTGAGCCAAGACTGAAGGGGGCAAATTTGCGTAGTGTGTTATTAACTTGGTATTTCAGCTGCATTGATAATGGGATTGAATATTGAAAATCTAATTTTGTTTTTTGTGGCTTCCATTAACTTTCTTTTTGCTTTTGCCTTTATTTCAGTCATAAAGGAAGGATTTCTGAAGCTCTACCAAAATCGAGGCACAGGTCAAGAAGTCGCAGTCCTCGGAGAAGGTTGGTTCTCCTCTTGGTCTTTCTTTTTGATGGACAGTTTTCTGTCATATGATTTGAAGGATCCTGAACTCAATTTGCTACATCATGCCAAGATTTTGATAATTATTCCAGTTTTCTTTACAAACTTTTGATGATATTCAAATGAATGCCTGAAACTTACTATTTAAAATCTGCCAGGTACCGAGATGACTACAGAGACCGTGGCTACAGGAGGAGAAGTCGCAGTAGGAGTTGGGACAGGTATGACCGTGACAGATACCATGGGAGGGATAGAGACTATCGCCGACGAAGCAGGAGCCGCAGTGCCAGTCCTGATTACTACAGGGGCAGGGGAAGGGGGCGCTATGATGATGAAAGGCGGAGTCTAAGTCCGTATCGGAGTCCACATCGAAGTCGTTCTATTGATAGGTTTTAATCCAAGCTGATATCCTTTTTATGTTGAATTTATAGTTGTATGCTATTTCTTCCTTTTGATTATCTTTAACGTATACTAATCTGCATTGCAGTGCCTCCCCTGCTCGGCATAGCCCTAGTCCTCGTAGGAGCCGCAGTGCCAGCCCTGATAGATGTAGTCGTGATGGACAATCCCCAACCTCTCAAAGTGCTTCACTACGCCATCGTCCTGCTGATTCTCAAAGCCCATCCCCTCGAAATTCAGATGTTAATGTGAGTTGATGTCTATAGTTTTGATTGCTTCTGAAATTATTACTTTCACTTGCATGGGAGAAGAGTATTGATATGGTAACTTTTGACCATATTTTACAGGATTGATAGTGTTGTATAGAAAATATCATGGAAGCACCCCGTGTTGTGTACTTGTTGCAGCTCTGCTAATGTCGAGGATCCTTGATCATCATGCTTGTTTCTATTGGATTTTTTAAGTGCTAGTTTCGATAGGACAGGTTTTCTTTAGTACTCTAATATATAAATGCTGCACCTTGTGAATTTTCTTTATTTAGCTGGGATAATCTGGCTACTTGTGGGCTTGTAGTTTGTAGTTCGGTTTTATTTACAGGGGATAGTCTGTTGTAAGTTTCGTAGTGTCTTTCCTTTCATTTTTGTTCTTGTGCGGTTTACTATTCACTTTTATCCTCTTTGTAGCATTATTACTGATATATGAGTCTGGTCTTAAGTTGTCTAGTTCAGTTTATAGGAAGACTTCAGGAACTATTTCTTGGGTTTTATAGTTGTTTGTGAAAAGAGTGATTTAGGCCAGGATAAGAGGATGTTGATTCGCAGCCATTGATGCTGTTTCTAGTCTGTAGATGGATGTCGGGGTCGTGATGCTGGTTTTAGAAGTATGATTGTTTTTGCAGTGAGCTGGTTGCAGGGCCAGTAGGTTAAGCTGATTTTCTCCATATGTGATATATGTTGGTAAGAAATATGGCTTGGCTATTTGTTTCTGATAGTGTTATATAATTAGGATTTCTATGCTTGACCTGATAGTCGGTTAAAGAGGTTTTAGTTGCTGTTATGGCCGTAACTGGGTGTTTACCTGTAGCTAATGCTGCATGTGAGCTGGACAGACATGTTCCTTACAAACCTGGTTTGTAGTTGCTGTGATGGTAGAAGTTGAAATGGTGTTTCCCTGTAGCCTGATGATGCACATGAGTTGGACCTGTGATTGAGTAACCGTGATGAGGATACCCAGTCTGAAGTGTGGATACTAACTAGGGAACCTTGTATGTTGGGCTTAACTTTGCAGTCACATTAATGAGACACGGTAAACAGGTTTATGGTTAATTTCTTTATGCTATGTTTTGGATGAGTGATTTTCAGTTCCCAAGGGATTGATGTCAAGTTAGTAAGTGATGAATTACAAAATATTAGATAATAGGAGGGATTAGAAATGCACCATATTAGCATTACAAGGGCGTGTAAAAGAGATTTGTAAATGACTCTTTCCTTGTAGGGATTTGGAAACCCCTCTCACGTGCCTTTGTATTGCTCATATGGTGTATTTCCAATCCATTTTGCTGAACATTGTGTGATCCCTTCCTTATTAACTTGACCTCAATCCCTTGGGACTATGGAAATTCCATAATCCTATAGGGTTTAAGACTGCTGTATCTAGTCCCAACCTGTTTTCAATTGTATAACCTTTGCTGCTGAATTTATATAGATCTTGTATCACACTTTCTTGGCTCTAGCTGTGAAATGGTAGCTGATCTGTGTTATGTTGTATCATAGTCATGTGTGGGTTCGGGACAAACTGAAGTTCTAGCGAATAACCACCTGCAGCTTGCAGTTGCTGCCATTTTATGATCTGTAGGCTATGACCAGTTGGGGCACTGATAATGGTTGATTGGCGCTATGACCAGTTGGGGAACCAAGAATGGCTGCTTGGCAATCTATCTCGTATGTCCTGATTACCGAAAGATTTACTTTGCATTCTGGTATGCCTGATTGATAAAATGAAAAATTTACGTGCCAATAATTGCATTTAACAATTAACGATGGGGTGATCTGGTGAAGATCACTTTTTCTTCGTATATATAATGATCCTTCGTCAAATTATCATATCCTTTTGCTTTTCTTGTGTTACACATGTTGTAGGTTGTTGAGAATCTTTACCTGTTATGCCCTTCACAATAAACATCTGAGTCCCTTTTTTTCGCTTACGTTGTTGACTCTGTTTTATTTTCATGCTGAAGACATGTATTCTTGTGTTGTCCTTGTCTAAACGTTTTCGATATGAAGTTCTAATTTTCTTACATCTTGAACCGGACTCGGAACAGGTGTGTAATCTACATTATATCAGTTTTTATCTTCTCTTATTTCCTCCACTGCTCACTTGCACCTTCTCTGTCCCGTTCCTTTGTTTTCTTGGCCCATGATATGCTTGCTTTGCCTTCTTTTATTGTCTTCCCATACGGTTGAAATTAGGGATGGGCACGGGCATGGCTGAGCCGGGCCCAAATTTGGAGGAACTAAACCCTACCTTTTTAAAAATGTAATGGGGCGGGCTGGACCGGGTAGAGAGCTTTAGAGTTTTAGAACTGGACCTAACGGGACGGTTCGGGGTGGGTCCACGGTTCCTATTACATCTTTTTTTCTTGTCAACACAGAAGGGGACGATGTCGTTCAAGTTGTCTTCCTCAGTCGTCAAGCAATCGTTTTCCTGTTTCCTGCGCAACAACCCAGATGTTGCTCGGACCATTCAAGCAGTCTTCCGTAGTCGGTAGGGAGAGAGGAGAAGACTATAAAATTAGAACTCTAAAAAAAAACCCATCCAACACAAAATTAGAACCATTAAAAAAATCCCTGAAAAGACGAGTTAGGTAGAGAGGAGAAGACGAGTCTTCCTTAGTCGTTAGGGAGAGAGAAGACTATAAAATTAGAACTGTAAAAAAAAATCCATCCAACACAAAATGAGAACCATTAAAAAAAAGCCCAGAAAAGACGAGTTAGGGAGAGAGGAGAAGACGAGTCAGGGAGAGGGAGAGTGGCCTGCTTCATAAGAAACTCACCCATGTGACACCGACGAACTAGTCGGTGACCAGGGGAGTCCATTCCAGTCCAGGATCCATTTGCCCACCCTTAGTTGAAATGTGTGCTTGTAGTTCTGTTGAAACAAATGTGTGTTGTTCTGGGTTGGACAAACTCAAGCAACCTTTTTTTTCTTGACAAACAAGTGATAGCATTAACGGGATAAATAGTTAGTTGTTAGTGGGGAGATAAATCGGTGAGGATCCAACCTACATCATAGGGTATAGGCATTATTTTTTATGTCTACGCCTAAAAGTGAACTTTGTCTATGAAATGGGAAGCGGAAAATGTTAAAGAAGTTGAGAGATATAAATGGGGCGAGTTGAGTAGCTTAGAGAGGTCAACTGAAAGCTTTACGAATTTGCGTTCTTATGTCTGAGCTGCCCCAACTCGCCCGTTTAGTGAGCAACATAAACATTAAGCCGAACGGAAATCTTCCGGCTAATAACGGCAATGTTATTTACCGAACTTTGTGCTTGATGATCCTGACAGTAGCAAGTGCAGAAACTCCCACATCAGATGGCTCTTTGGAGCATTCCTGCATGCAATTATTCGGGTCGAATTTATTTGGCTAAGATAAATGTTTCATTCATTTGAACTTTGTTGTTCTCTGTGTCTCATCTTAGAACTTCGTACGATTGATTTTTCTGAGAGGCAAGGAGGTTAAGCTAGAACTAATGCAACATCGCACAAGTTCATTTATAATCAATCCGAATAAAATAAAATAAAAAAACACATTTAAACGACTTGTGAACTTTTTTCAGTCTACAATATGGATTCATTTAAAGGAAATCTAATAAAAATGATTTGAAAACTTGAGTTTTAATCAAAATGACAAAAAGGTGTTGTAAGTGAACATTACCATGAGTGATATTTTAGAGTAACAAGGTCATTTTCGTTAAAAGTGAACAGTAACGGGAGTGTTTCGTTTAAAAAAATAAGGGCAAGCAAAAGCCAAACTCCGAACATAGGAAAGGTGGCAACATCCAAGCCAAGCATCAAAAGATCAAGTACTCGAGCGGTCTTGTGATTTTAGCTCGGTTACATTGCTTTGGAAGAGCCTGATGTCGAGGATGGAGAAGGAGAGGGGCTTGGACTCGCGACTGAGTTTCCTATTTCGGGGGCATTGATCTTGCTTCCAATCTTTTGGCAAGCTTGACAGTGGTCAGGTTCACCGCAAATAGCATAGTATGTGCCTGGTATGTTAAAAGTAAGGGGCGGTAAATGCGTAAAGCCAAGGCACCGTAATGGGACAAGGCAAGTGATGGAATGCAATTGTCATAAACTTCTTGAGTGACTAACATCACAAAATCTTCTTCCTGTGTGTAATTAAAAATGAATTCGTCGCCAACATGAAATTCTTTTGATAAAGCCCACTCGTTGTAATTAATCACGTCACTTGAAGTCGACCCTTCTAAATCGCCACCATCTGTATAAACAGTAGTGGAACAAGCACCAAAGAAAACCATCATCATGATGAAACTGACGGCGACAGTGTTTCTTAGAGCCATGACCACTTAAACCAGTAAAGAATATACAAGCAATTAAGACAGTAACGGGGAGGGGAAGAATTAAGAAAGCATGAAGCAAGACTAAAGGCAGTAATGCCCTTGCATATACGTATATAAAGTTATTGTCCCAATCGGAAATTGTTTCTCAAATCCAGTTCGAAAATGGTTTTCAAAAAATCAGATAAAAAATGCATGGTTTCCGAATTCGAATTCTCTCGACCACTTTTCTCCGCTCCAGCCATGCTTCAGGAGTTCAGAAGAGGAAGAGAGGGAGAATTTAGGATTTTGACAAATTTTTCGAGAAGGGCCAAAATGATTACAGTGAACGAACTCAAGGACCATTTCATTGGCAGCACAAAAATGACCAGTTATACCAATCTCAAAAGACCACTTGGCTAAAAATCCTTTTACCTCATTATTTCATGTACTGTCAATTCACCTTTACAAATTTGCGTATAAGACTGCAAGCGATTCGAAATACAGGCATATAGAAACGGAGCTTGTTCGATCTAACCAAATTGAATCTTAGATTCTAGCAAAATTGTGCTAGTTCAGTTCTATAAAAAACAGCAAGGTTGAACCTGCAGACCAAGTTATTGAAAAGCAGAGGATGGAATAATCAGGAAAAGCTTTAAGAAGAACAACCCTATAGATTGTAGGTAACTCCGAAGATAATTTCCACATTCGCACAAAATTGTACTTGAAAACATAACATATATCATAAGACATAAATCCAAGCAGTCTCTACTGCAGCACATGAAAGTCGACCAAAAATTTGTAAAAAGAAACCACGGAAACATTTGATTAAGCTAAGCCAGTCCATCAGAATTGACCAAAGCAAACAGAAATTAAACCTAGTACCCTCCTTTAAGATCGTTGACGACATCATAAGGAATGGGAGTAACAGTTTCCATGACGGCACCTTCCACCCTGAAACCAGGCTTTGGTCCCTTTGGCTGCCTCTTGGTGCTAATGACCTCACCCTTTGCTTTAGCCTCGGCCTTCAGCTGGTCATTCTTAATCTTCCTCAAACGGAATTCTTCAGTGCACCTTGATGGCTGCACATGCTCCACACGCACGTGGATCCTCTTCCTGATGATTCTGTTTCCAACCTGATATCATGTAGAAGCATACCGTTGAAATTTTTTGGTCATCAAGTTAAAAAATAAAGTATTCAACACTCACTAAACAGTGAAACCAAAGCAAGACAGAATTCCCCTACATATAAAACAACAAAACACTACGCTTCCAACCAACGATAATCAATCTGTAATACTCAGAACCGGAATTCAAACGGATCAACACGAAAGATTAACTTACATTCTCCACTCTCTTAACATTCATCCTATAGCCTCGAGCATACACCATATGGAACAAATACATTAAACACGTTATAGGTCACACACAACAGGCTTATATCAATGGCCAAAATGTATCATATCCCAATTAACTGTATCATATACCAATTAACCTAAAACACTTTCGTTACCGAAAGGTGACATTATAAATACACATCAAGAGCATAAATCACATCAACAGTTGAATTAGCATCCATAAGCTAACATTATATGAAACCCTAAAAATCTATAGCAACGTTTAAATCTAATCAACCATTTCCATTAACGGCAAAATACACCAGCAACAACACAATAATAATTACCTTCGTGACATGCCATTTAAGTCAGCGAAGTCCAAATCAATCTAAAAGAAACGAAATTTCAACAAGAACCCACGAATCCAAGCATAGATTTTCACACAAGCATATATCAAACACCTTCCAGGCAACCCAAAATCCAAAACAATACAAGAAAACAAAAATGAAATTAACCTGCTTGTTGATCTCGACACCGATGGCGCGCTTGGTAACGTTCCAGACGCGACCGGTACGGCCGTGGTAGAACTTGTGGGGCATACCCTTGTGGACGGCGCCGTTAACCTTGACGTCGACATGGTCGCCGATCCTGTAGGTCTTCAGGTAGGTGGAGAGTGGGATGTACCCCTTCTTCCTGAAGGCCCTCGAGAACAGATCGCGAGTCCGGGAACGGAGACCGTGTCCAGCCGGCATTTTTCAGAGGCTTCTGCGTCTCTAGGGTTTGGGTGGTGGTTTCTCTAGATGAGTGTGGCTCTGTTATCTTGAATTTATAGTAGGTTTGGTGAGGCGGGTAGGGTTTTGGTATGTCGGATTTGATCTTGAGATGTGGGCTGGGCTTACTGTGTCAAGAGTGATGAGATTTTTATCGTTCTTTAAGATATGTTTGCTTGATGGCACAAAGTATGATGGGCTACTTGAGGTTGCCCCGTCCGCTTCTTTTAAATGAAAGAAATAAATTTGGAATTTGAATAAAAGTTAGAATTTATAAATGGGATCTTTTGATAAAGGAAATTATAATTTTCACGTGGAAAAAAAAAAAACTTGGAATTTGGGACCTTCAATTCTCAAAGTTTAAATTTCATGTAAATAAGTGTCGTTTTCCAATTTCTATGATTGAGAGTTTAAAAATAACAAGTCATAAATTCTAAAAAATAAAATTCTGTCATTTCAGTTTTCATCATTTTAAAATTTCTTAATAATCTTGAGTTTTTTCATCCAAACATAATGTTAACGTTTTTATTCTTTCACTTTTTTGTGTTTAGCTCCCATTTTTGTAATGTGGGACAATTCTTAATTCTTTCCATGAGTTACGTAACATGTGAATATATATAAAAAAATGATCAAGTTTTTTATGGCGCATAACGGCTTGTGAAAAATAATGGTATTCAAACAAAACTCTGTATAAAAGTATAGGAATAGAAAAAGAAAAATATGACACTACCATTTTTTTGGTCTTAACCAACCTCATTCGAGAATCTCCATTAAACCCTAAACGTCAATAGAAATCGAGGATTAGAAAGACTTGGACAAAATCACATATTTGAAATCACCAAATACCAAACTATCCATTAAAAAGATTGAAAACTTCTAAATTAGATGAGTACATCAGCGAGTTTTATAAGATGATTCATGTTCAGAAAACATTTAGAACTAAATTTATTAGAGGCTGAACATTCTACGTTGGAATGTGATGCAACACTGCAAATTATAAAGAACAAAACAGAAAAAAAAAATAGAGTAAAGGATACGGTTATCCGTCGTTGGTAGCATCCAAATTGACAATTGTAAATTTCCTATGAGCCGAAAACGATGAAATGGTCAATGCAAACATTATAGAGATTCATAAACAAAAATTTCATGTTGGCAGGATTCAGATTGACAACTGTAATTTTTCTGTGAGGCAAAATTGATGAAATGGTTAATGGAAACATTATAGACAGATTGAAAAAGAAAAATTGAAGCTAAGAAAAACCTTGAAAGCTCACAAAAAACCGAAATCTTATAGGAGTCGTATCTTTCTATCGTTTTCTCTCTTCAAAACAAAAACAGAAAACTATCATTTGATTATGTACAAATATATACATCAGATAAAAATCGTAAAAAAAATAAGAAAATAGAATAGTTGCAGAAATAACAAAAATGGTGAAAAAAAAAAACATAAAAATTCTCAATCAAAAGATGAGATGTGCGAGAAAGAAGAGTGAAAAGTGAAAAGCAAAGGAAAACGTGAGAATAAGTAAATTTATAAGACACCATTTGAGAATATATTGAAGCCCATTATCTAAAAAGTATCAAAAAGCTGAGAACATATGTCAAATGATATTTGAGCCAACATTTATTTGAAATGTAATGTTCTAAGATTAGAAATTGTGTAAATATTTATGCATGAATAATATATTGTGATAGAGCATGAGAGAAACAACGTAAATACATATTGGATATAGTAAGCTTTAACTGATTGGTGACGTAAGAAAAAGTACTGGTTGATTCTAAACAAAGTGGAATATGTTCAAATAAAAGTAGTTGAAAAGGAAGTTAATAGATTGTGTCATTGAATCAAACTGAAAACATAGTAATTGTCGCATCCCGGCCCGGGGCGGAATGTGACAAATTGGTATCAGAGCCTAACCTTGGCTGTGGTGTGCCGACGAGAACGTCGGGGCCCTAAGGGGGGTGGATTGTGACATCCCACATCGCTCAGGGGAGTGATCCTTATATGTATATTCTCATCCCTACCTAGCATGAGGCATTTTGGGACCTTACTGGCTTCGGGTTCCGTAGGAACTCCGAAGTTAAGCGAGAAGGGGGTTAGAGCAATTTCATGATGGGTGATCCACTGGGAAGTTGCTCGTGAGTCCCCAAAAACAAAATCGTGAGGGAATGGAAAGCCCAAAGCAGACAATATTGTACTACGATGGTGGAGTGGGCCCGGGAAGTGATCCGTCTCTGGGCAGGATGTGACAGTAATGTTATTAGATTTTTTACTTCAAAATTTGATGTCATTGTTTAGGTATTTTGGTGTAAATGGCAGAATTGAATCAAACAAGTTGAAAAGTGAAATGATACGTGTAAAAAGATGGATCAGATATAGCTAGTTCGGTGCCTCTTTGCAACACAAAGACACAATTTGCTAACTTATTTCAGGCTCCATCATTTGGAGAAATAATGATCACTTCCATCTTTTCTCTCAGAGGAATTGGTTGCTACCAATTTATAAATAAAGACTTTCTTCTTTTGACCTTTTTGTGGGAGGATAAAATCCGGTTTCGACTCATGGGCCAATACCAATCATCCAAGGAGAAGGTGTTGTGCAATTTAAACTGTGAGGAAAGCCCACAAGAAATATAAGGGAAACGTGTCTAGATAACTACCCCTACAGACGCAAGAGGAACATGCCTAGGTAACTACCCTACTACGGAAGAGAAGTGGGAGAGGAGGACTGGTCATGGTACTCGATCCTCAAGCATGCAATCCTATAAATAAGGAAAGGAGACAAAGAACAAAGTAGGTAATCAGAACCCGAGAAAATGCAGAGAACAGAAAATCAATCGACTGACTTCAGCGTCGGAGTATCTCTTGCAGGTACCCCACTCGGGCAAGCTACAGAGGAAGACTATTCAGGGACACCTCTAGCGAAGGATTCCGCGAACGCGATGATTGCAGTCAACAAATTCGTGGAGGTATTTCTTCTTGTAGGAAATTTCACTTCAACAGTTGGCGCCGTCTGTGGGAATTCGTACAAAATTCCGTATCGAGAAGGCATGGTTTCCACCTAAGTCACAATGGGGGCACGGACCAAAACCCTAAATAGTGAAGTTTTTCTATTCTTCTATCTTTCCACAATCATGTGATTTATAGTGCAAACTAACATTTTTGTTGAAGCATAAGGTTATGGCGCACTGCAAGATGAATATGAATTTCTACAGTACCTTCGTGGTTTAAAATGGTTTAAGTAGATATTTCAAGTTTTTCTAAGTATTTCTATTGGAATGGTTGCACTATCCATGTCTAAACTAATGAATTTTTGACTGATTAACCAATTGAATTGAGAATTGGGGGGCAGGACTTAACCCCAAACATGAAGATTTGTATTCTCTCTTTTTATGATTTCACCAATTTTAAGCTTTGTTATCATAGCTTATAGTCATGGCTTGGAAAATATATAGAAAATAGCACTTTAGTAGAAGAAATGAATTAACACAGCAGCCACACATGCGATCCTCAATACTGTAGTTTCCGCAAGCTTGCATATTTTATACGTACCAGGATACTTGAGTTCTTAATTCGAATTAATCAGTTTAGTTCAAATATTTTCATTTCACTCAATGATTTTGTGATACTTAGTGATCGGCACGCAATGGTTTTGTTAAGAGGCATCTCTAATTGTTTGATCTTGTTCTTAGTATTATTGTGATGTATTGACCGCAAAGTGTGTTGATATTTGAAGAACACAAGCATGAAGAGAAAAGAGAAGTCCAAAGTGAGAAGAATAAAGTAACAAAATTCTCCCGAAAAGGAGGCGCATGAATGACAAATTTGTACTTGAATGAATATACAGAGATCAAACACTCAAAGATGATGCTCGATAAGCAACTTGTCCTTGAGGAATTGCACGAAGAAACCAATCGAGGAATTGCATGAAGAAATCATTCTATTGGGGCAACAAATACTCAAAAGATGAGAAGGACTAGAAGCCATTCTAGTGAGTCTTGCAAAATACGAGTCAATTTACTCTCTCTCTCTATAGGGCACTCAAATTAGGATAGGTTAATTTTATTTATTTATTTATTTTTTTGCTTGTACTTGTGTTAATAATTGTACCGATTGATGTGCAGCACCATCACCCACTCTCCAACGTGCTCCATGCTGAATATACAAATATGTTGGCAGCAAACGTTCGCTAGCTGTACATTCAAGACACTTTCAGACTGTCTCTCGCACGCCCTCTCGCAAAACACTTTCAGACTCTCTCTCGCACGCCCTCATCCTCTGTTGCCTGCCGCTGCAGACACCGCCGTCGCCTTCCCTCCTCTAGCCGTCGCCTTCCCTCCTTCCTTTGGTAAGCTTCTCTTGTCTAAAATTTCGTAATTTATTTGTTTGGATTTTTAAATTTGGGGATGGGGAGAGTGACTGAAAAAGGGGTGGGAAGAGCGAAGGGTTGAGTGTATGGGTGTTGGGGAAAAAAATTGGGGATGGAGGAAACAATTGGGGAAAATATTAGGTTTTGTGGAGGAAACAAGAAAAATTGAGAGAGAAGTAAGAAAAATTGATTACTTCTCTATTCATTTTCCTTGACTGAATCTTGATGCATGTTAAGCGTGAGAAGTGATAATGCAAGTTTGTTCCCTGAATCTTGATTTGGATTAAAGAGTTATTTGTGTTTTTGTTGTGCTTTCTAGTACCCAGTTTATAAACAAAAGCCATATTCTCCCCGAACTTTCTTGCAAACATCAACATGGAATGATGAACAGGAAAAACCGAAACTAAACAGCATTGCAGCTAAAGTAGACAACGAAAGAATCAACCACGGCAAAGAATGTGTACTATTCAAGTAATAATGCGGTAAACGGGGTAGCTATTAATCTTAGACATCAGTTTTGCAATGAACACCTCCGCAAACACTTAGGAACATAATTACTGAGCCCAGATTTTCTGGTTACTTACAGTTTACACCCAGTTTACAAAGACTAGTCACTAACAAACCAATAATTAAAGCAGAGCATTAACATATGTACGACAAGCAGAACCCATGTTCGATAATGAAATAATGGAAATGCTAACGAAAAAAGAAAACCACCCACAAGTGAAAATAAATATTTTCCTTAAAAAAACTCGTATTTTGGTTGATGAAGCGAGCAAAGGTGTTGGTGTTGGTGTCATTAGTTTGCATATATTGGACAAGTGTCTTGTGATTCATGTTTTTATTAGTAGGAGCTGTCATTTACAAATCATACAAGCAGGAGGTGTTCTTGTGAGTCATCCTTTATCTAGCAGGAGGTGTTGAATTAGGAAGAGTGCACAGATTTCTTTGATTAGTGGTGTTATAGCCAAGAATGAGGTGGCTCCATGTGTACTGTGTATGCTCATTCCTGTGTATGCTTTCATGTATTGTGTATGCTCATTCCTGCTTATTAACGATGGATTCTTTTGTCTGCTTATATTGTCAAGTTTTGCACTGTTGCCTGTATCGTTTACTACGATTATGTATTCCATCTGTGTCTACAGTGGTAATAATAAAGAAATTAGAAGTTTGATTAGTTATTTCTTGGTTATATTACAATATCATTTGTTCTTGTTTTAATATATATATATATATATATGTATGTATGTATGTATGTATGTATATATACAAATCACTAGTTGGTATCGATGGCAAAGAAGGGGGCATCTTCGTCAAATCCTTCAGCTACATGGAATGCCCACAATATATCTATAGTTTGTGATGTATGCATCAAGGAGTTTGAGGCCGGACATCGTCCGGGCACTCACTTTAACAAATTGGTTTCAGTACTATTGCTTTGGCTTTTGACAACATGTATTTTTAAGAGAAAATAATACTTTTCATGTTGTTTTTATCGTGCTTTAGTTAGAAATCAGTTATGAAAATGTACCTTGTGATTTTCATAATTGGTTGATTTTCAAAATCATTTCATTTCATTCATTCTGCATAATTGCGTTAGTATCTTGCAAAGTTCGAAGAGAAGGTGATTGACGGCCGCATTAGTGTTGTGCCACTTCCGCTCGAAGGTTGAAGAGAGATTGAGTAGCAAAGCGTGGAGACAAAACTGCCTACTTGTATGTGTGTCTAGTTGATTAGTTTTGTAAGTCTTTCTGTACTCATTTCTCTTAGTGTTTGTCCTGGCTTGGGAGCCCCGAGGATTTTCCCAGTAGTGGGTTTTGCGTTGTTAAATCCTATATCTTGTGTGTACATTTTATTTAGCGTTTTAACTGCATATGAGTATGATAGTTTGATATGTGATGTGAATGTGGATTTAATTCGAGAACTGAAAATTAAATTGAAAATTGAATAGGATTTTTAAACTGGAACCTATTCACCCCTCTCTAGGTTAAACTAGCACCCATCCTAGAACTTTCAACTGTTACATCGCCTGCCATTTGGTCATCCAATAAAGCTAACCTGATCTAACATCATTACTTCTGAACTTGTTTTCATTTTTTATAAGTACCCTTTACACAATCAAGAATGAGAAACTGCACCAAGACTATTATTGATTTTCTAAGTTTGCCTCTGACTTGTTTTCTTCTTGCAAAGATAAACTTTCCAAGAGCCATTCCAATACATTTGGTAAGAACTTAGAATAAATGTTCTTGATAGAAAATTTCGAAATAACTTTGTAACAGAAACAAGCACGTATAATCTCAATGACAATAATTTCTAGCTTACTGAGGAAAGTAGGAGATCATTGGCTTCCATTTCCATAGCAAGCACTCAAATTCCATATCTGACAGTGTCTGACACAAGGGACTAACTTCTAATACTATGCACCAAACTGTAAAGAAAAGCGATATTTGGATTCCTTATCGTATATGGTAAACAAAAATGGATTCTACTGGTTTTCACTTTTCAGCAGTATATTTGATAGATTCATTCCTTTAGGTCGCTTCTCATTAAAAAAAAAAAAAAAAAAAAACCCCTCCAAAACTGATCCAACTGTCCAAGTTCTAAACTTGCTACATTGCCTGGTATGTTTTTACCTAGTTCTGCAAACCTTTTTAGCTCTCCTTGTCAATTCTGTAGGCATTACCTTATATCTATAAATCTGCACTAGAATCCCATCCCCAAGACGACATGTTCTTCTTGCGATTTCATTTGACTTCGGGTGACATGAAATGATTCTAGGTAATTTAGAGGTTAATTTCTTACTATGAGCTGCGACATCTTAATAAACAAATGACCAGATGCAGATACTGAAGCCTGGATATATGATATATCACAAATGAAGTGAAATCAGGATGAACATGTTAGTAAGTAACAAGCAACAACTCACGACATCACATGAAGAATCAAGAAATTTTTGTTATTTCACTTGCAGAGATGGATTCCTACAGAGTATCATTTCAAGCTCACAATTCATGCATTATTGCACATCTTCTGTACAGGTGGGACAGTAAGTTCCTGAAGTCATATTCTATCTGTCAAAACCAGTGTTTCTATCAA